TAGGAGAGACAGGAGGAGCAAATTCAATATTGTCATAATTCCAAATCTCAGCTCATTTTCTTTAGATTTGATTTCCCAAAAACGACATCGTTAAGAAATCCATTTATGTTGAATTTCCACGTCAAATTCACGTCACACGCCTATCATCCAAGTTTTTTGCCACGTGAAACCGTGTGGTTTCACGTCAACAATTAATGGGAATGTTGGACAGAAACTAACCGATGGTAAATTTGTCATGGATGTCTTAGTTTGAGATTTTTTTGTGACATGAAAACCAGTTTGAGATTGATGTGACACGGATATGCTGGCTTTGGGATTTTTTATGATATTTATCCTTTCTTCTATTACGATCATTTTTCTTTCGATTGTCAAAGGCATATTATTTCAACTCATCGCAACCATAGCCGATGTAAATATTTTCAAAGAAAAATGTCTCTCCTGTTTCACATGATTACACATGATTATTGTCAAAATGAACATGATCACATTGGTTGAATCAACACTTAAAACCGGAAAGAAAACCTACCTACAATTTCACGGACTATGGCCTGCAAAATTTACCCATTACAGAACAGACAAATTCTACATGTTTAAGTTATTCCCCGTTAGTTGAAGATTCCTCTTTTACTTGCAAGTCACATAATTTACTTAATTCTAGATAGAGTGCTGCATCTGTTGGAGTGTTAGATCAGTCGTCGCTTAACTTGTAAAAGCAAAAAAAATAGGCTTTTGATATACGGCAAGTCATCGCTGGATGGGGCTCTCTGCACCACTTTCGATTCCCTTATTAAGAAAAAGAGTCAAACAAAGCTGTGGAAAAACAAAAACTAATTCGAAAGGCATTTCAAAAACAGCGTGCATCAAATCACACCAAGGATCGGCGGTAATCCAACCGGCAGGCGGTTTCGCCTTCCGACATCATTTTCGAGATCTGGGTTCGAATCGTTACGCTCGCTCGTTCTTTCAGGATTGTCCTAGAAGCCCGATGTGTGGTTACGATAAGAGGACTTCCGTTTAATAAGAATTAATCGCGTGTTCAAAGGGTTTTGAACGATAATACTTGCGAGGCAAAGAAAAGGAAAGAATGGTGGGGGAGGAGAGAGTCTTCTAATTCTTTGGCTCTAACTTTGCATGTGCTCATCCATCGCCAAAAGGTACGAACGTGGATTGTATAATCTGACCGACCAATCTAAAAGCTGACGACACAAGCCACGGTTAACATAGCTTCATTAGGGGACAATAATGACTTACTTGCGAATTCAAATTTTTCCATTCCTTTGTTTGTACGTAAGCAAATTTATCTATTTTTGTGCAGTTAAAATTTTTTAATCGGGAGAATATTTTGTGCAAGTGCTTACCACATGGCACTTAATTTTTACCTTTGTGATTACGATGTGGCGAGTCGCATAGCCAGTATGCGATTGAGGGGTAGCAACTTAGTAATTTGTCAGCCTCAAAGTTTTGTCATTTATTAAACTTAAATTTCATAGTAAAGGAAAAGTGTCTTCTAATATATTTTTTAAATGTATCCGATTCATAAAATATGTGGAAAAATCCTTATATTCTTCTAAAGCATTTACTGCTTTTGACTCGTCTCATTGATTCTAAATTTGAAAGACTACAATTAAAGAGAAAGCACATTAGATAGATAATTTGTTAATTTAAATTGAAATTAAGTCACAAAGAGAAACATATCTTATTACATTAATAATACTCATATTTTGAAGGATGGCTTATATTATTACTTGGATAAATTTCACTTGATATTCACTAGATTAAAAATTACAATAAAAGCATAAAATTTACAACTTAAAATTGTGGTTATCTTGAAATTTTTTGAAGCAAATTTGTTTAGGAAGAGATGAAAATGAAAATAAGTTTCAACAAAATCCACTATTTTGAATTTCCTATCTCGTTAGCACCACCGATGCATTTACATTCTCTCACTCTCATTTTCCTCCCCCCCGCCCCTATCTTTCCAAACAAAGCATTAATTTCCTATCTACTAATGTTCATCATTCTTCATGTCAACTTTCATTTCCCATGCGTAATAAATAATAATACTTTTACTATACCGCATTGTACGTCTCAGTGTAGGTATACTATCATGTACTCTTCCTTTCTTGCATAACAACGTTTAAAATACTATACATGATCCTCTTAGGGTGTCTTTTTTTATAATACAAGGCAAGAGTGTAGAGGCTCGACTATTTAGAGGCCCATGAAACACTTTGCAAGTTTCGTGAACCGGTTAAGTTTGGATCTTTGGTCTATTCTAATGACCCTGATACTAGGCTGTTTACATGCAAATGATGAGATTCAAACATGAGACCTTGAATTATTAAGCTGAAAATTTCCCCGAGTCTCAACCAATTGTGTCAACCCTAGGGAGTTTAAGTTTCCTTTTTTGAAAATGCATATGTTGACTAAATATAGCAATGAACGTGGGATCAGACAAAGTGGATATTATGTGACCATTTGCAAAACTGGAATTACGAGTGTTAATACTTCTCGGATAGTTTACAAGGTTAAGACAGTAATCAAGTGCAACAATCAATGGTACATTTGACATCAATCCTGCTCGTTGATAGGTCTATCTATTGAAACTTTAAGGTCCGACGAAGATCTCATGTATAGTTAGTGTCTCAATTAAGGAGCTGCCCAATTGAAAATAACATTTAGTTTTAATTTTTTACATTATCCGACACACAATTTTTTTTTTAAACATAACATATTGGTTCGCGCATAATTCGCCATTATTTTGTGGAGTTCAAGTAATATTTTAGAAGCACATATGAAAGTCATTAAGCAACTTTTTTTTTTACTTGAAATGAACTAAAACAAATGCACCCCAGTGACCTCGATCTTTGAAATTTGGTAATCGAAATTGTTATCAAATCCCGAGTTGAGTGATTGAGAAGTAGAAGCTACATATTTTATCTAAAAAGGTTGGAGAAAGTGTGCATGAGAAGGCTTTGAGAAAATTTTAAATAAAGGCTTGAAGTGCCCTCATTTTCTCAAATAAGAACCTTGACGGTAAAATTTAACGGAAACTAATGGAGATAAATTTGTCACATATATACCAGTTTTGAGTTTTTTATGGTCAAAAAATTATTTTTTGGTAAGTTTGTTACAGATATACCAGTTTGAGATTTTTTGTAATATTAATCCATTATTAATTGGGTTTTTACCTAAGAAGTTTTTATCATATGCCAAATGGTCTCGTTACCATGAGTATCTTAAGAAATTATTCCCACTCACATGCATTGCTGGATGCTATGTAAAACTCATTTAATTTACCAAAAAAATCAATAGGCCTGGTCCATGAAAATGAAAAAAGGCCCAGATGGAAATTATTCAGTTCGATCCATGCTGGTTTAGAAGAAAGCTTGAATTCATTTTATTTTTAAAAGTTCATAAAATATATTCATTATCAAATTTCCGAGTTCTAAATACAACTATTAATAATGAAGATAAAATTACGTTAAAATATGCAAATTTGATAAAAGAGAGCAAAGTCTCATGTTTGGACTTCAACGGAGCATAACTTTCAATTCGGGTGGAGTTACAAGACTCGAAAGTATAATTCGGAAAGCTCATTTAAACACTTGTTTCCATGGGGCCGAAGGTTGGAGGTGTTTGTGTGACACCCACGAATGATCTCTCTTGAGATATTGTTCATTTTGATTCATCCCATACTGGTCTAATGATTTTATCCTTTCGCTTACCTATAAGTATTTTTCCATGGATCACACACATATTGGTAGTTCTCTCACCTGATAATTTCAATATCAAACAATGCTGCTACATCAAAAAAACGTCTCTCATGAGTTAATTACAATTCAACATATATAATTTCTGAACACTCTCCCCCTGTTTGATGTATAATTTAGTTCATTCTTGCCTCATTCACTACCTCGAAGCTTACTAGGAGTTGTGCTTCGTCCGAGCCCTCTTGCCCTAACAATCGCTCCTCGCCTTCGTTTGACCGGATCGTCACTAGTCCACTAGCTTCCGCATGGTTCGTCATCAAACCACGTACCAATTGAAGGGGGTCTCACTCTTATACCATATAATAAAACCCTTGGGTTAACTTATTTAAATTATCATATACTTTTTTGACATGTTTCGGGCCATTTCTCTATATTGAACCAGTTATTTTGCCCATTTAATGTTTGATCATTTATTTTTTCCCCATATCATTATTTCCTATTTCAATAATTTAAACAATCAACAAGTTCAACTGAAGAATTGTGTGTTTTTTCTACTATGCAATAGAAAATAGCAAATAGTTTTCATATACATTTCATTACAAATATATAAATTCTGATAACAATTTAATATTCGGGGGCCGCGCTAGACCATTTCGGGGCTTCATTTGGCCCCCAAAACAGAAAAATAAAACATGCCATAAGACGGGACTAGCCATTTGCGGCCTCGAAATTTCAGGCCGATCAGGGTTTTTCAGGCTTCGTGGTTTTTCATTCGAACCCTACAACACAATAAGCTCGAAACCGACACCATCCGACACGTTATAACAAGTTCTCAATAAATAATATCATTTGCAACCGTATCGAAATATTTGATATTGCTCCGAGCGTCACCCCCGTCCCCACCCCCTCCCCAACCTTGCGAGAAGGAAAAGGAGAGCACGCACCATTAGCTACGCTAGCCTAGAATTAAGGCATCAATTTTGCCTACTTAATCCAAACTCTAGTTTTTTTTATTTTTGTCTTTTTTGAGCTCTAAGCAATATCTCAACTTTACTAGGTGAGATGAATCAAATTTTCACTCCCTTGAGGTATAAACAAAAACTCCCTCTTTCTTCCACATTGTTTTTTTAAGTCAAAAAGTCAAACAAACACCGTCTTTCTTTATCTTCCTCCCTTCACCACCACTTTCCACATCTCTATCTCTCTCTCTCTCTCTCTCTCTCTCTCTCTCTCTCTTTTCCCACACAACCATTACCATCTCCTTCTCTCCTCTCTCTCTCTCCCATTTGAGTGACATACAAGAACTCCAACACTATCATTGCTTGTCCTTGTCACCTATATTTTCTCTTTGCTCCACCCCTCTATATGTCCCAGCACAATACTCAACCCCCCACCCTCAATGGTCTTCTTCTTCTCCTTCTCCTCCTCCCTCAATCCTCTGCTTTAACTGATACCCTTCTTTCTCTAGGCTCATAGCAATCCCCAGAAGAAGAAATGGAAGGAAGTTCCACCCCACTGACTCAGAATTCATCCACCTTCGGCCTTGGAATGCACCCCAATGACCAGCTCCGCAACTGCTTCTTCGTCGCCAGCTGGGACGACTCCCTGGATCAGGGCGATCCCTTTGAGTCGGCCCTGAGCTCCATGGTGTCGTCCCCCATCGCGCCCCACGCCGGCGAGGGCGACTCCGTCATGATCCGGGAGCTGATCGGGAGGCTCGGCAGCATCTGCGATTCTCCCCAGGCCTCCCCGGGGTCCTACAACAACAGCGCCACCAACACTTCCTGCTACAACACCCCGCTGAACTCGCCCCCCCCGCTCAGCCTCTCGATGGCGGATCAGCTCGTCCGCGGCGGCTTCCCAGCCCCTGGAGGCCATTTCCCGGGGCACCCGACTTTCGTGCCGGTCATGGCCGATCCCGGGTTTGCCGAGAGGGCGGCAAGGTTCTCTTGCTTCGGCCCTAGGAATGTGAATGTCTCCAATCAAAACGGTGGCCTCGGGTTGAATGCATTGGAATTCCCGGTGAAACAGGGCAATAAGCTCGATTCGGGGAGATTTTGCAGAGTTCCGAGCAGTCACTCACTGAAGACTAACGTCGGATCTCAAATCTGTGCACAAGGAGGGACTGAAAGAAGCTTCCTCCAGTCAGGAATCTCTGCTCCGACCCCTGAAAATGTAGAAATGGGGGATTCCCGCGAGGGGTCTTCGATCTCCGAACAGGTCACGCACGGAGAGATGCGTGCCAAGGGACAAATCGACGTGAATTCAAGGAAGAGGAAATCGATCCCAAAAGGAAAAGCGCGAGAATCGGTCGCTTCTCCACAATCTGCTAAAGATCCTGCGGTAAGATGATCCTGTTTCTTGAAGTTGTACTCTCCTTGGAAATACTCTCTTTCACATGATCTTGTGATGGAAATTTACAGAGAGATTGCATTTTGCAGGTTGCGACAGAGAACGAAGAGCCGATCACGAAGAAAATCAAACCCGCCGAGGCCGATGGCGACGAGATAGACGCGGCGAACGGGAACCAGAAACAGAGGAATGAGGATTCGAAGCCTCCGGAGCCGCCCAAGGACTATATCCATGTGAGAGCAAGAAGGGGTCAAGCCACTGACAGCCATAGCCTTGCTGAAAGGGTACTAGCTTCATCTGTTCAGTTAGTTTCCCCTTTTACTGATCCTAGCTGACATTCGACCAATGATTGCTGATTCCATTTTGTCGCTCCTTTTCACTTTCCGACAGGTCAGGAGAGAGAAAATAAGTCTGAGGATGAAGGCTCTTCAGGATCTCGTGCCTGGCTGTAACAAGGTGCGCATTTCCACTTTCATCTTGCTAATATATTTTTCCTAGGAATGCGAAAAAAGGAGAATGTGATGGAGAAGCTTTTCGACCTTACGAATTTCAGGTGACCGGGAAAGCTATGATGCTCGATGAGATCATTAACTACGTGCAGTCCTTGCAACGTCAGGTCGAGGTATGTATAAAAACGCGACTCGGGCTCGACTCATCCAGATTTGTAACTGTAACATTCAAAAAGTCGGGTGTTTGATTCGGTTCGCTTCTCCTCGCAGGTTCTCTCCATGAAGTTGTCGACTCTGAACCCCAGGATGGATTTCAATCTGGAAGCTTTCCTGTCAAAAGAAGTAAGCTAAACGGGGCTGTCTCGCTACTAGTCCAATTGCGATGTTATCATTCATCGAAATTCAAACAAATCGACTTACACTGACGCGTTTTTAACTTGCAGATCTTGCACTCTCGAGACCCGTTACTGAATTCTCTCTATCCAATCGATTCGTCCGGATCCATGTCATATGGTTATGAGCCCCCGCAAGGACTAATGCCGATGCCGAGTGTCGATTCCAACAACATGGATACCCAATTTCCAGTGAATCTTTTGAATTCCGGAATTCACAGAAATGCCAGCTTGAACTTGCCTCTTGTGGCCAATTACGGCGAAGCTCCCGCTCCGGTAATTGAAATTCAACACAAACATTGATTTTATGTATTAAAGTTTGTAGGATCTCAAAATTATAGTGTTGCATTTATCTTCAGGCCCCAGCTCTATGGGAGGATGACCTTCAAAGTGTAGTCCAAATGGGTCTCGGCCAAAATGAGCCTCAGAGAATAGAACAAGGTACGTGGATCTATGAATTTGATGCAAATCGAGCTTCCATATATCGAAAAGGAAATCCAACTTTGTTATTGACACTTGATGCAAAATTTCAGGCTCCCTGGCCCCTGCTCAGATGAAAATCGAGTTGTAGTTCCCGGCGTTAACGAACGGTACGAGTCCGACAATTGACAGGGGGCCCTCACAGAGAGAGAGAGAGAGAGAGAGAGAGAGAGAGCGAGAGAGAGGGAGAGAGGCCTATGTATGTACAGACATATTCTTGATTTCAGTAATTGCTTAGTCATTCTTTGAAGAATTCTTTCCAAGATTGTTGACACTAGAACTAATTGGGATCTTGTATCCGATACAATCATTTGTTTCGGCCTCTAGTGTTACCTCGCCATTTCTATAATGCTGCAATTTGTTTATTCAGCGATTCGACCGGTAATTTTGTCGTCGGGCTTTCGCTTGCTCGACCGCAATACCAGCTTCGAGAAATCGCATTGTGTTTGTAAGCCTGAACAACGGTAATATTGAACAGGTGCTGAACTTGACATTGATAACACATCCCGTGATTTGTGCTATCTGAATCAAAGTTTTCGCTCGAGTGTCTGACAAAATAAGATCATGAACATCGGCAGTGCATGCATCTTCCAAGTCAAGGAAGAAAGAAGAGATGTCTCGCAATAATTTCTCCTAAGGTCCACAAAGAGCATGCATCTATGGTCAAAGCCTGAATTACAATTTAGGTACAGCTTTTTCTCTGCATTCTCATCAACCGATCAGCCTCACGATGCGCGACGAATAAATTTTTCACATGGTCTGCGATCCTTGTCTCGTCCGTCCTTCGAATAACCCCGCTCGACTCGACTTGACTCTGCTCGATCTTGACCGCGGGAAAGGCGGAGAAAATGAAGGAAGCAATCTAGCAATCAAACTTTTCTTCCTCCTCCCATCACCACCACCACCACCACCACCATCATCATGAAGGGTCTGATAAACTTCCAAATCCCCCCCCCCCCCCCGCCCCATCTTTTTCGCCTACCTTCTCAGCAACCAAACAAGCACAGTGGCACTGAGAACGACGCCGCTTCTGTTCCCCCATCGAATTTTTTACTGGAAAGAAAAGGTGGAAATCCACTACGGGGCCCCATGATGCGGATGACATAGCGTGAGAAAAGAAAGAGAAATATCCCGTAACTTGTGGGGAGATTTAGATTCGTTTGGCTTGGAAACCAGCTGGGTTTAGTAGGGACAAAATGGCGTCTTAAGTCCAATACCATCCTGAGAATGACGGGTCACTCCTCTACTCTTTGTATTAGCTGGAATCCAAAGTGAGCTTTGAGGAAACTTTCTGCTGTCTTTGCGCTTTACCACGTACCTAATGACAGCGAAGGCCGTGTGTTCTTTATTCTTGCTCTACTCACCATAACCTTTTTTGATGCTCAGGCTGCTACCGGAAAAGATGGTGTTGAAATTAGGGTTTTCTCTTCTTCTTTTTCCATTTTTGGGATAGTGAGTTTTTTTTCTTCCTCGATGCAAATAAGTCCTAAATCTTGACTACAAAGCTTCGTCAAGTCCTCATCCATTGATGCAACTTAAGGTTGTCAACTAGGCGAGTCCGAGTGCGATCGGAGCGATTCAAGATATCGTTTAGGTAAAAATTTATTGCACCAATCGAAATGTTTTAGAGCTTGATTGCATTCTCTCTATCTGTTTTAGGATTTTCGGTACACTTTTCTTATTTCAATTTTGGTATTTACTTTTATTAAAATCCTAGATAGATAAAGTTTCTTTCAATCAAAATACTCAGACACTCCACGTTAAAACAAGGTGATATTACATGTTTTGTTCTTATAGTTTTGGGGGTTTCGTGACAATACGAGTCATTCCATTAATATTTTCGATAAAAATTCTCATAAATTGCTTAGTCAGCATTGGCTATTGACACGGAACGCCTACACGTGCAAACTCCAAAAAGAAATTACACCCTTGCTCCTCGTACTTTTGGGAATGATCAATTTTGGTCCATGTGTGCCCAATTACTTTCATCATATTTCATCAACCATCGTACGAAAATGTGAAATCAAGACTAACTATTAATCGATAATTTCTACTCTTATAAATGTGCCCAATTTCAACTTTGCATTGAAGTAAATCTAATCTCCCAGAAGATGCTCAGCTTTTAGAAACCTCGATTCTGATTACAAAGGGACCCAGATAATAAGCTTTGGTGGCTAATCCTAATAAGTCACCGGGTACAAATGAAGCTTCTTTATTGGCATTATCGGGGCTTGGACACACCCTTGACAGTCCGAGCATTAAGAGCCTTAGTGACTCAAAAAAGGCGCAATGTAGTGTTTTTAACGGAAACGACAAAAAATCTGGAAGCTCTGGTCTAAAGATTGAGAAGACGGCTGAAATTTCAAATCTGTTATATGGTGTGTCCTCACTAGATCTAAGCGAAAATTTGCGCCTCTCCTTATGGTGTCGGATTCAAGTCTTGTTCGGAGCACTCCAAAAGTAATATCCTAAATGCACTATGCTATTTTGGGGAAGTGCATCATTAAGATCGCATGAGAGGGCGTTTACCGATCGAGATGCACAAGAACTAACCCAAATATCACCTAACCGCCGTACCAAAAAATGAAGATGTACTTCATTTCTTCTCAAAAGTGATGAGAACTCTTGATCTTCTTCAATCAAAGTGCAGGTCCGCAAAATATTGTCAAAGCTTGCATGTAATCTGCTACCAAGTATTCCGTACTCTATTGATTTGGGTCAATCAAGTCCTAAAAGTTATTTCAATTGGTCACTTGAGTCTTTTTGTAGTCCACGTTAATTTCGAGTGGACAAAAAATTTTACTTTGAAATTTTTTTGTTAATTTCCTTTGTACGTGGACACATGACACTTATGTGACACCACATAGATGCCACATCAGGAAAAAACTAAGAGAAAAGAAGATAAAGTGTCACGGGCTGAGGGAGATTGTCTAATCAGTTCTAAACCTATTGAACGGATGCCAATTTAGTCCTAAATTTTTAATTTTGCCAATTTAATTTTAAACATTTGCGCAAACTTCCAATGTAATCATTCCGGTCAATTTTAACCAGAAATCGCTGACGTGGCAATATGTCATATAGGACGTCCACCATTGGAAAATTGACTAAAACGATTACATTAGAATTTTACGCAAAAATTGAGGACTAAATTGGTAAAATTGAAAAGTTGATGACTAAACCGGAATCCGTACAATATGTTTATGACTGATTGGGTAATTTCCCGGCTTAAGATTGCTTCATCACACGGGTGAGACTCTTCAAGCGCTAAAGGTATTTTTGGAGAAACGATGCTTAAACAATTACGAGTCGTCTTGATAATAGATTAAGATGAGGTAATGTCTTCATGACAAATGAAATTGGCCGATGTAGATATTCCATGATTCGAGTAGGAGCTAGATAAGAAATATCCGTTCACATTAGAAATTGATGATTAAAAGTGACAGAGTAGCTCCTGAGAATTTGTCAGCAGAGGATGGCTAACTAAAGATCTGACAAAAGGTGTGGGAAATACTGACACAAGAGAAAAGTTCAACACCATAACACGTGATTCAGACCGACGTGCGTTATTTCGACCAAAGGAATACAATTTACGTCTCCGCCGTGGTCGTCTCCGATCACAAGTCACCTCCAGGCACAAGCGAAGGATGGCGGAGGATCAAGTGGCATAATCGGTCGTGGAGATTTGGATGTTCTCCAATCACTTGAACATGTTCCGCAATTCTTAGACACTGGTAAGTCAAATTTAGTCTAGAGAAATAAATGGTGACATCCATAAATTAATTCATTGAGGTATGATATATTTTGGCCGATCTAGTACCAAGCCTCACGGTTTAGTCCTTTAGCGTATAGACGAGCACTTTCTCGGCAGGTTATCCATCCTGAGAGTACTCTTACATGAGCACGCTTAACTTTAGAATTCCAAATATAAGTATTGCAGTTACGTCAAAAGGCGCATCCATGAGTTAATTCAGGAATGAACAATACGGTATCAGAATGGGACCCCCTGCAGTAGGTGTGTGGCTCGGGACGAACACCGCTGGAGCCAGTAGCTCTGCAATGACCCGGTATGATAAGGGCCGGGAGTGCTCACCAGGGTAAGAGGACCTGGACAAGGAGCAGCTCCTGGTGGGCTTCTAGGATGGCGAAAGTGACAAGAATAAATCGAATTGTACACCGAACAAGGAGAGAGTGATTCTGGAATTTATATTTGGTAATTGGAATTAACTCACTGATGGACATTTTGATGTAAAGGTAATGTTTAGCTTTAGATCCCAAAATTTAAGCGTGCTCAGGTGAGAGCACTCCCAGGATCAATGACCTTTTGGGAAGGTGCCCACTTGTATGCCAAATAACAAAATCGTGAGGCTCGTTATGTGGGGCCAGAGCGGATAATACTTCAGCGAATTAATTCAGGGATGCCACACAAATGACGCGAATCTCGCTCCCTTTTCATTTAAACAAAGTATGGCGGATTTGTGAGTTTCCTGTCGGAAAAAAGGAGCAAAAAAACCAAACAAGAGGACCTATCCTTCAATCTTTGTTCACCCTCCACTGCTTGGCATTCGGCAACACTTTCTAAGCACAATCCCGACTTCTTGCCGATACTTCTCCCCCTTGGGCAGAGAAAAAATGCTTGGGGTTCATGTGCTTGTCACTTTCAAAGCCCGTACCACCACATTAAATTGCCCTGGGCCTCAACTGCTTTGGAGGGTACACAGCAAACATCGCCTGCATAATTTAATATCATCCCCGTCGAACGCACACCGATGATGACAGAACGAGTGGCTAGGGTTTCGGGTGTTGCTGCCTTTGCTCCTTCGTTCCATCCCAAGCCTAAACAGAGAACAGCATGAGAGAGAGAGAGAGAGAGAGAGAGAGAGAGAGAGAGAGAGGGGGTTAGCAATTGGTCCACAAGGAGCTAGCCAGGGCCAAGAATCATGTCAGAGAAGACAAACCGAGCAGCTTTTGTTCCGCGGTCTCCATGGCTTGACGGATTGCCAAGAAACAAGCGCTTGTGGGGGTGTCTGCTTCGGGCTCCTAAGATGAACAGCCGAGTAGGCCAATGGGGACTTCTGCTTGGTGACCCCCCCCCCCCCACCCAACCCCCCACTTGAGAGTTGCTTCTCGTCCCACTCGACATCTCCAAGGCCAGGCCACAGACATAAATGATCTCTCTAACTCCCAAGATCACCATGATTGTCATTTACTGCTAGTGTCCACAGATGGGCCCTCCATATCCAATTGAAAGATCTTCTCAAAATGCACTGTTTGCAGATCCGAGTCTTGTCCATTGTATCTTGCCTCGACATTGGCCGGAGCTAAAATCCTATCAAATCCCAAATCTTTTTATATCTTTGTCTTCCCCAGAAAAAGAATACCCTCTGAAAATTTTACATTTCGAATAATCTCAATGTCTGAACGATAACTGAGATGAAATATTTTTTTAAAGATCTACTCTTATATTAAATACCCTCTAACATTTTCATCTTGGGTTTTGATACAAATTGGATTTGTTATCATTTAATATGAGGAAAGTATTGAGTAAATTGTCTCTTTTCTACTGAAACTACTACCATCACTTTTCTTTCTACATTTTTGTAAGGCCGGTAGAGTAGATTAATGATCTTTTCGGCTTTCCAGTTTTGCCCTTGCTAACTATCATATTTTCCAATGTTTACCCCCATAACTTAGCTGCCTATTGAGCACTCAGCTCAGCAGCGTACCTGGGCTTTGCCGACACCATCTCCGCCGCATTATATATGGACGGTGGACATCGCCGTTGCTATAGATCACTTCCAGATTTGTGTGGTTGTGTGTGTGTGAAAGAGAGACATAGATAATTATTGATCGGAAGAGATAAGTAATAGTGGTCGCAACCACAACCCTAAGAAGAAATTTCGCTTGCGGCCATCGTCAGAATCTAGCTTGAGGTCACGCAGTGCCATTGGAATTTATCCTTGAGTCGCACAACCTCGACCAGATCAGGTTTGAGATCGCAACCCCGACCAAATCTAGCCGGAGGCCATCTAGCCCGATAGCAACCCTCGATTGGGATCTGGCGACCTCAGAGACGCACAGCCCTGCAAGGCGCTTGCCAACTTTCATGGCAGACGACGACGAACACAACGCCCACGAGAAACCAAGTTTAAGAAAAATTATATTTCTTGACTTCATTAAACATATAGTATGCAATTTCATTGAAACCTTCCCAATTAGTATCCAAATTTGTAATATAACAAGTCAAAATTGCTTTCCCAGGATTTTTTTTCACTGAAATCACATAAAATCAAGGTCTCTAGTATCAATGTAAAGTCTGGAAGTCGGAAGCATTTCAAACCCGGCGTGCACATCCCAAGTACAAGTTAGGGACCATATTCTAAGACCCTATCAGATAGTACTAAAGGCTCAAGCCTTAATCCATACTAGGTAGCTGGACTATTATCCATAATTTCAGAAAACGGACTATTTTGTCACAAGATGACCGACCTTGGACGAGTCTACTCTGAGCGGGTCTAATGGGCTGTCAGACCCATGATCAACCTACCGACACAAATTCCCCTGAAAAATATCCTTTCGGCATATGAAGCATTCAAAAACTGTAGCCAGAGATCTCGAGCTTCGCACTTTTTCGCGCTTGGAACATGAAGGTTGTCTTCTTCAGACATTACCTGATCAACAGGGTTGTATGAAATGGACTTTTCCATATCTACGCATTCCTCTCTGACCATTTCCCAGAAACAAATTCATTCAGTTTCGCGATTATAGTTTCACAGTCTCACCAACAATCAGATAGAAAGAAGAAAACCCAGTCTGTATTTAGAAAATGTGGTTAGAGGAACTATATGTGGAACAATTAGGCATAAATTGATACCGACTTCTCAAAATTTGGTAACTTCAACTCCATTAACAACCACTTATGAATCTTTTTTGAGATTACACCCATTATCTCAAGTTTTGGATCGAACGAATCCATTGACACAAATAGTTCACGGGAGAAAATTGAGTTATTTGGGCCCTAAAGGATTAACAAGGCAAACTGCTAGTTTTCGAATACGAGATATATCCACCCTAATTACTATGTACCGTCACAGTATTCTCCTCCTATAGATGTACAGCGTATAAATTTCAGATACGGTAAGGCAAACCATGTTTTAGGGCAATACGTCGTCCAGGAGACTGACAGTTTTAACCTACATATTTTTGCAGAGGAAGTTCAAATTCCTGTCAGAAATTGACTTGAAATAGAGGCACGTTCTACACCAAACCAGTGTTCCACCCAAATTGCCATGTCTTTGAAACAGTGAACCTTCCAAAGACGCCGTGACATTTTCACTAGCATACTGTTGCTGGAGTTTACATGCTTGATCCATATGATTATTGCAATTTTTCCTGTTACAACTAACCTTCCTTTTGGCACATTAGTAATTACCTTAAAAACCCATAAATATTACTTATTTTCGACAAAATGTGATGAACGTCAAATCCAAAATAATCTATGTCATGCACGAACCAAGAGAGTTTCAAGTCGATAGTCATTTATGTAGTGTGAATTAAGTAGTACAGAGCTAGCTGATGCGGGTACATATTAAAACACGTCCAAACATACATCACCATAAGCTATTCACAGCATACACTCCAGCTATTATTTTTAACAAAACGCAATGATGGTCAAATCCAAAATACAGTATGTCATGCACAGCTCGCTGATGTGGTCCATATTATTAAAGCGGTTCCAAACATACATCACCATTAGCTATTCACGGCATACAATTTACGCTTTGCTATCTATCGTCATAGGCGCTGCCCCGTGCTTTGCCACCATGCCCTGCATCAGACCAAGAAGCAGCAACACTAGGACCACGAGTAGCAACAGAACCCGGCCAAACGCTAGATTCAGAAGTGACAGAGGACGTACCGCTGTTGTTGCATGCTCCAGTCTGTTCATCTTGGCAAACATATTTCCATAGAACTGAGCATCTCTCTTGTTATATTCCCTCACTTTCTCCTTCAGTATCTTGTACTCGAGTTTCACATCCCTAGCCCCAGTTAAGCACAAGTTCATTGACCATTACCACAAAATCTCCAATTAACAAACAAATGTAGCATCATTCATCCAGCAGAACTATCCTATAGGTTGATATAGTAACCTTCGAGAACCAAACACCATGCTATAGTGCCTTTTCATCTACGAGTGTCATCATGCTATTCAATTGGAGCAAAATGTTATTTTCTAAGTGAGTACTCTGCAATGCAATGCATAGCTTGTGTTCCCATATTACCTTGTGTTGTGCATGCAACTAGTCACGTGCTTGTGAGGTGCACACTTGATCCTAGGACTAATGATACGATGGAAATTCTGTACCATCAACAGCTGATATTAAATAGAGAAGAGAAACACCTGTTGTTAGGTTCAATCTCTAATGCCTTTTTTATGTCCTGCTCTGCAAGATCCAAATCAACAAGTTGTATGTAAGCCTGAGCCCTCCGGTAGAGTGCCTTAACATTTCCACCGTCAGCTTCCAATACCTGTCAACATAAAAGGCCATTCACAAGACTTGTGAAGCAATTGACCAACAACTCACTGGAGAACCAGAGAGTGAAGTTCAAAGCAATCTAAATGCTGCACCTTAGTGCACAATTTCTCTGCCTCCTTGAAGTCTTTAAGTTTCAATTTGCAAGCTGCATTGTTAAGGTTGCAGGTGATCTTTAGGGTCTTTGCCTGCTGCTTCTCCTCGTCACTAAATGATGAATCATATTCGATATACTTCACTGCCTGTTAAAGAAAGTCGTTGCATGCACTTGAACTCATAAGAAACTTCTTACAGTTTCTCAGATACCAACTGTTGAATTCGCATCCATACCTTCTCATATCTCCTTGAAGCCCTTTCATATTTTCCAGCCTTAAACGAAGCGTTCCCCTCTTCCTTCTTCCTTGCTGCAGTATCAATCTTCTCCTGATTGTTCATCTCCCATGATTCTTTCTCCTGCAGAGAGAAAAACAAATGTACAATTAGAGGTTGTCCCTCCTCAACAAGAAGTTATCACGGTATCATTTCATCAGTTGAGATTCACACCAACCTTAACGAATGATAGCAGCTCGACCTCATAAGACACAGTGGAATTGGCAGGAACAACAGCCAGATCTTGTTGAGATTCGGTCAGGCCAAAGGCATACTCCGGCTGAATTGTCACCAATGCCACTTCACCTTTCTTCATGTTTTTGACAGCTCTGTCAAGTCCATCGATCACTTGTTCTGAATCAAGAGACGACATCAGCTATATGGAGAAGAGAGACAAGGACGACAAGACTGAAAATTAAGATGCAGAGCAGAGGAGAAAAGGTTTCACAATCTAAAATGGCAACACTATACCCTCGTCTATTTTGAACTCGAAAGGCTCCTCGTCTCCCTTCTTCACAAAGACCGTTCCATCATGCAGTTTACCGCACAGTCTCACTGGCAATTACATTGGTAAGTTTAGAATTCATGTCCAACAAAGCCAGTAGGCTCAGAGCTTCGTAAAATGACTGGTCTCATGAATATTACCTTGAACAACTGCCCCGTCGTTCGGGCGCTCATACCCCTCTCCTTCCTTCAAAGTTTTCTTCAAGACCTTCTTGTCTTTGGTTACATCAGAAACAGTCTTCCAAGAGACTAGCTCAAGCATAATTTGGAGGCTAGCATTAGGGGGAACAGCGACCTCATCCCCAGAAGCCGGTCTGCCAGTCTCCCCAAATGCATCTGTATAAGTTGAACAGTCAACATCATCCCCATATCCAAACTAAGCATAAAAGCGGGAAAAGTAATTGCCTTGAACTTACATTGTGGCATCACAGTCAGCAAAGCCTTCTCTCCTTTCTTCATTGTCTTTACGGCCTTAGCCAAAGCAGGGCAGAAATATCCTACAAGATGCCCAAAGTCGACATAAAAATTATGCTTCAAAGAGTATCTTGGAAAGAAAATTTTGTGCGGACAGAAAGCATACCATCTCCCACAGTGAACTCCACTCCATCTGATTTCGAAATGAGTGTCCCATCTTCGAGGCTTGCTTCATATTTAACTGATACAAATAGAACAGAAAATCAATACACGATATGTCACAAAACCACCTCCGCAATGGGGAAATTATGAGCTTTCAGGGGGCATACCAAAAACCTCATCTAGGTCCTTGGGATTCTCCCACTTCTCTCCTTCCACAAGAACTTTCTTCAGTATCCCTCCATCCTTGGATATATCTTTCACACTAGTCCATGAGAGCAACTCCACATCAAATTGAAGAGTGGCATTAGGAGGAATGGTGGGAGGGGATCCCGATTCACCATAGGCTAGTTCCGAAGGGATGGTGAATATGGCATTCTCACCCTTCTTCATAGTCTTGATCCCTTCATCCCATCCCTTGATCACTTGACCTGGTCCAGCACAATAAAATTTAGGTGTGTTAAAAATTCATTTCAGACTATTATAACACGTTATTCCTGGAACATTAAAAGAAAACATGAGTGTATAGAAGATCAGCGTTAAGTCCAGTGAAGGTTTTAGAAGTTGTTTTCACTTTCAGTGGCCGACTGTAGAAGTCAATTGAAGTTTGCTGGGGTGCAAACTGCACAAAGGCACAAAATGGCCACAAGCCTAATCAATAATTAACTCCATTGCAATGATACTTAATGCATTACCTTCAAGCTGCAAATGGAAATTGACTTAATAACCATATAACCAACCACAATCAAGACAATTCAAATGGCTTTTTCAATAAAAGGAGCACCTTTTCTGCTTGTTTGTCTAGGCTTAGATATAGCTCAAATGGGAATCAGTTGCCTTTTGAAGATTGAGTGCATAGTGGCTTCAATAGAAGCAAATTGCCCTTAAAACGTTATTAAACACACTATGACATTGACAATCATAGCAATCACCACTAAGTGAAGAAGAAGAAAAAATCTAGTTTGTTCTAAGAGGCACCAAAATCCCATCACAGGCCAACGATTAGTAAGGCCAGCATTATCAGCCTTTTCTTTACACATTTTATTCACTATTGTTAGTACTCTCATACCATAGAAATGAAAAGATCATGTACTTCAAAACCACAATTTGCTTGCAACAAAATCTTAATGTAGCTATATGTCATCTTTCCTGTTTAATCTCACTATCAAACAGAAGGAAGGGACCACCAAGTTAGAACTCTAAAGAATAGTATTTACATGCAAATTACAACGAAACTAGAAGAAGAGACAATGGTACGACGATGGCACAATAATTTGATTAGATGGGATTTTATCATGTTCCAATGTCGATAATCAGTAGTTATTGAAAACATCTCAAAATCATTTGAATCATCAAAGTTCTTTATTTTTTTAGTTTCGAACTTGTAGAACGTTCATTGAACTAATTAGTTCGTCAACATCCGTGCTAGGTGTTTTCATCCCAGACATCCCGTTAGTCGTTTATTCATTAGTTGTCTGCTAGTACATTATTTTGCAAAGGAAAAAAAAAACTAATTGCTTGACTCTTCTGTGTAGTATTCATTCTCATTCGGCTCTTGGAATCACATCCAGCAGACAAAAAGAGCGCATCTTCTTAACGAATAGTTCTAGTAAAGCACATGAGGTCCTTCTACAGTCCCACAAGAGAAAAAAGGGGATTGGATCCCATCTCATTAACCATAGCTTTCCTTTGGCATTTCGTAATTTTCTTTAGGCATTCTTTAGAGGACACAAGTGACTCATCCTCGTAATTTCCGTAGGTCATATAATCCGTAATATTCCACAAACACAGTAATCTACCTAAGTTCATAGTAAATTTATTTTCCTATTATTAGTGGATTATCTAATTAATTGTAGCTTCCCTTTGGCGTGCGTAACAGTATTTCGCTAATTTTTTGTAAAATATCCTTTCCTGACTTTCTTTTGGTCGTAAGTTATTCGAATCTCATGGTTTATAGTATTCCGCAATAATAGTAATCTACCAAAATTCACACTAAATTTCCTGTGTTACTGTTAGCAAAATATTCAATTGATCGCGACTTTCTTTTACACCCCGTATCGTTTTGCAACCTATGTGTCAGTAATTTTCGTTAATCACCGTCACTTTTCTTAATCAAATGTAAGTTTAATCACCTTTGTGTTAAGATCAGCAAGTAATCTCTAATGTAAATCCAAATCGAAATTTTCTCATGCAGCAAGAATTCAAAATTCGTTTCTTGGAAGAACCCACATGTAGCGTACGTTAAAAAGGAAAGAAATAAGTCCATATTTAGCCCATCAACTAGTGCAGTTCTTGCAATTGGATCCTAAGAATGGTCCTGAGAGAGTGCGCACTTCCATAGTGTCACCAATTCAATTCCACCCCCACGACACAACAGCTCGCGGGCATTCATCCATCTCAACGGAAGAAGCGATCAGTTCAGGTAAGAGCGAAATGCCGGAGAAGAGAAGAGCGTACCTCGACCGAGCTTGAACTTGAATGGCGTCCCGCGGTCGCGGCTCGAGTCGAACTTGGTCCCGTCGAGCAGCGTCCCCGTGTAATGAACTGCACAGAGAGGGAGACACCATCAGCACCGCACCGCACCACGAAAAAAGAAAGCCAATCCATCCGATCCGATCCCATCAGCCGAACCGAGGAAAGCGAGAACGGACAGCACCTTCGACCTCGTCGCCGGAGCTCGGGGTCTCCCACCCTTGGCCTTCCTTGACGAGCTTCTTCCTGAGCCCCGCCTTCCCGATCTCCCTCTCCTCGCCGACCTTGAGGGCGGGGCTCACCGGTTCATCCCCGGTGACGTCGATGTCCATGTCCATGTCGCCGCCGTTATCGCCGCCGCCGCCGCCGCCGACGCCGCCGACGCCGCCGAAGGTGGGGAACTCGAAGTCGTCGTCCATGGCGGGCGGTGGCTTCGGACGCGCTCAGCAAACAGGGGAAAGCGGACGCCGGAATTCTCGAAATGCAGAGGTCCTTCGGCTTCTTTCGCGACGTTGATGAGCCATGGGAGAGGGGGGAGGGAGGTGGGGTTTTATGGGAGAGCGAGGAGGCGTCTAGAGAGTTCTAAGGTCGGAATTCGCGGGACAGTTCCAGAAGGATCGATCTCGCTCCGGAGAAGACGGATCCGAGTGGCCTGACTCAGTGAGTCGGGACCATCTTTTTTGCTCGAGTTTGGAGCGAGTCTCCCATGGAAAAAACCAGAAGGGCGTTTTCTCCGTTGCAACGAAAGGAATAATAATAATAATAATAATAAGAAGGCTGCGAACGGCACTCATTCTGTTTACATAAATCAATTTATGGATAGAAATTGATTTTTCTATTTCTGTTCCTAAAGGAGTTTCTGAACAAAAAAATATGTTTGATAACGACACAAAATTTCTGTTCCAGAAACAGAAATTTGTTTAATAACGGCACAAAATTTCTTCATCTCGGGTGGCTGGCGAGTGGACGTTGGGCGGTGGACGGTGGGGGGAGGCGGCGGCCAGCGGCAGGAGAAGGTGGCCGATGGTCGGCGGGCGATGGCCCACGGTGGCCGGTGGTGGAAGGTGGGTGGCGGCCCACGACAGTGGCTACGGGAGGAGGCGGCGGCGAAGGCGGGAGCAATGGGCGCGGAAGGAGGGAGGCCGGCGGTGGGAGGCGAGTAGCGGCAGGAGGAGGGCGGCCGACGGGCCGGCCGATGGACGGCGGGTGGCGATCCACGGTGGCCGGCGGGAGACGGTGGTCGGCGATGGGATTCAGGTGGCAGCGGGAGGAGGGCGGCCGGTGGCGAGAGACGATGGTCAGTGGACGGCGGGCGGTGACTCACGGTGGCCTGCGGGAGATGGTGGCCGGAGATGGGATTCGGGCGGCGGGGGGATTTGGACGATGGTCAGTGGACGGCGGGTGATGACTCACGGTGGCCGGCGGGAGATGGTGGCCGGCGATGGGATTCGGGCGGCGGGGGGATTTGGGCGACGGCAAGAGGAGGGCGCAAGGTGGCAGGAGACGGTGGCCGATAGACGGCGGGCGGCGGGGGGTGTCGACTGGAGGCGGGTGGTGGCAGGCGGCAGGCGCCTGTAAGTGGGCGGCGAGTGGGCGACCGACTAGTAACGAGGATGAGCGATGAGAAGAATTTTAACTTCTCATTTCTGTTCCAGAAATAAAAAATCAAAAAATTTTAACTTCTGATTTCTGTTCCAGAAATAGAAATTAAAATTGCATTACCAAACGGATTTCTGTTTCAAACCTATTTCTGGAACAAAATTAGAGAAATAAAATGGTTATCATTCACAGCCTAAACATTCTTCGTCAAGTAGGAAATTAGGACTCTGACCGAAAAAAAAAAAAAGTGGTAGAAAATTATGATGGGATCCCTAAAGTTATGCGTAAATTCTATTCTATTCTATTCTCTTTCTTCAAGTTAACTATTTTCCTGTAAGAAAAATGTGATTTGTTATTTGGCGCCCTATACATATAAAAAATATGGGAAAATGGCACGAATAGTCTCTACTTTTGACTCGATGCGCAATGTTGTCCTTCAACTTTTAATTTATTCAATGTAGCTTATGAACTTTTAATTTATTTAATGTGGTCATTGAACATTTGGTACATGTTTAATTTAGTTTCTCAACTATATGAAAATGTTCGATATTATCTTTAAACTTGAATTGATGAAATGATAACATTAGATATTTTCATGTAGTTTAGGGACTAAGTTAACAAAAGTTTAAGGATTATATCGAACAAATTAAAAGTTCATGGACGACATTGCATATTTAGCAAAAGTTCAGGGATCACATTGAACAAATTAAAAATTTAGGAACAACATTTCACAGTGAGCCAAAGTTCATGGGCTATTTACGTAATTATCCCTACAAAAATATATGTTGGTTAGTTAAATTTTGTATCTTCACTGATTAAGTGAATTGCATATGACTAAAATTATCTACCGCATATCGCATAACTTAAGTCTATACATAATTTTCCTTTTCTTTCTTTCGTGACATGGCTACGCATTGCATGGTTTATTTCTTTCAATAGAAAGTTCTGTGTAGGTAAATTATAATTTTTTTTGGGTAAGAAATTGATTATGGAAAATTATTATTATCTGCTTCGATCACTTTCTCTTCTTTATTTTGGGGCTACTGCCGGCCCCACCCGTCATTCCCAGATTTTTTTCTTCTCTCCAACCTTTACTAACTAAAGAACATAAAAATCTTCTCCAGTTCCAATTAACTGATAAGAGTAATTAAATTAACATTCATGTATATAAAAGTCTTATGTGAAATTCCTAATCTTTGTGTATCAACTATCAAGGAAATTGCCAGAAATAAATATAATATGTAAATTGCATGAGCTATCTCATAAACGTGTTATTTTCTGATCCACAATTTCATCTAGGCCAGTCCACGCGAAACGGTCTTCTCCGGTTGGATTTGTGTACTACTTTAAAGAAATGAGATCGTCCGCCGCTTTTTCTCCTGAGAACCTTCCGATACTTAACTTAGAAAATGAAAAGTTCAAAGATAAAGGTAAAGTGGACTACAGTTTTAGGCCTTAACTGCATAACGAGCACTTATTATGTATTTATTATTTATAACCAATGTTTCTACAATGACACCATACTGGCCGGTTCAATCGGGAACAGCTCGACCCTCTGCCATTTTTCATACCCTCTGTCGTTTTTTAGTCAAAGCCGAACATATCTTTTATATCGGCACTCGAAAAAACCAAAATATAAGAGAATGGGATCGAAATTCAAATTGGCCCAATTAATTGATGACCAAAGGTCACAAAGGGCCCAAACATTGAATAGGGTTTAAGATGTAAGTGTGGATGTTAAAGACTCATTCTCTATATTATGGTTTATTTCATGTGTAAGAGGTTGGTTTAGACATTGGGAATTTTCTTGGGAACTTGGAAGTTGGGAAATCTATCTATTTATTTATTTTTGGGGGTATTTGTCCCATTGGGATTGCTAATTTTGAGTTTGATTTATTTTCTAATTCTTAAAATCTTATGGATTTGTGATGCGAAAGCGTAAGCGTGAACCCTTCTTTTCCTTCTTCTTTTTTTTTTCTTTCATGAGCTTTCTATGATTTTCTTTAACTTTTTTTCCTTCACTTACTAGTATTTTTCCTATATTTTCAATATTTGATCAAATAATTAAACAAAGAATAATGTCATCAACAGTGAACCGACCGAACAAGATACAACCCATCAATACACGAGTACGCGAACTCCGGTGCCTAAAAAGTGAAGATCCCTCGACATAACATTATACCAAACCGAGAGAAAGATTAAAGTATCTCCTACTAAAGTTCTTTTTTTCCTACTTCAAAATCGATTATGAAATCAATCTCAAATCCTCGTGTGCCACTCGATATATATTATTGTCCTTATAGAATCGGTAATTACAATTGTTTTAGTTAATCGAAAAATTCAAATGAGAAGCACCACCGGCACCCATTGCTACTCAAATCAATATTCGAAAAAAAAATTCGAAAAAAATAAACGAAAATTTGCTTGTTAGAAAAAGCTATATAAGGCTGCATCCTCGCGCCTAAATTCAAATTCATACTCTCTCTCTCTCATACTCTCTCTCTCTCTCTCTCTGACTGAACGACGATGTTCTTCGGTGATTCGCAAGAACCAGATTCCGAGCTCGCAGACGAAGTCGAAGAAGAAGAAGAAGTTGAACATGAAGAAGATGAAGATGAAGAAGGAGGAACGGAGGATTCATGGCGGCCGCCTCCGGGCTCCTGCTCGCAAGGCCACAGGCCGTCGCTGAACCTCAGAACCCGGCAAGGCGGCGGCATCTGCTTGCTCTGCCTCTCCAACCTCCTCCTCGCCGCCGCCCCTCCCGCCCCCACCGTCCACGTCTCCTACGCCCTCTCCCAGCTCTCCCGTGCCCTCTCGGACCCTCCCTTCCTCCGGTCCCTCCTCGCCTCCCACGCCCACCTCCTCCCCTCCCCTCTCGTCCGGGCGCTCTCGGCCTCCGACGACGAGCCGATCGCTCGCCAGATCATCGACCTGATGATCGTCCTTCTGTCGCATTCCGGCGGTGAATTGGGATTGGCTGGTGAGTTTGCGGCCAGGGTTTCGGACCTGCTCTGTTCTCGCGCGCTGGGGTGGAGTCGACGCCAGGTTCATGTGGTAAGGCGCGACTTCGCGACTTTGATGTTCGATGCTGTTCGGTTCTTTTGGCGCGTAATGAGAGAATGATGAAAAGGAAGGGTGATTGTTCAATTCAGTTCTCATTGGTGAAATTTTGGATCCTTCTGTTCTGGTGAAACCATTTGCTAGTTTTTCAATTCACATCTCCCTTTCCTCTTTGTTCATCTGTGTGTGCGCTTTGGTCCCTTCTGTTTGTGATGACTTGTTTTCCAGAAAGATAAGGTTGCTTCAATGTAAGATGTTCTGCATTGGGCACTAGGGTAGCAATTGGACAGAATTTCGAGCTTCTTCTAATGTCATCGTGTCCCTCAATTGCAGCTCCACTGCTTTGGTATCCTTCTAAACCATGGGACGACCGATATTTATGTTTCGATCAAAGATAGACATGCCCTTGTTGTTCATCTTATGGATGGTCTTCAACTGCCGAGGTAACAAGCAACATACGATGAGAGATCAGGACTCCATACATACTCTCACACATACGATATTCAGACATCGTGAGTATTGTGCTCATTTTGTCCGTCCATGCAGTGATGATATCCAGGGGGAGATATTATTTGTGCTGTACAAGTTGTCGGTCCTCCAGCGGGAATTTGGGGATGGTGACAAAAGTGATCCTTTTGTTGCTTGCAGTCCCAAGCTCATACGTCTGTCGTTGGATGTCCTCTTGAAGACCCAAAGTGATGATGTTCGCCTGAACTGTGTAGGTTTGTCAACTTCTGTATTACTTGGAAGTGTGTTAAAATCGCTATGTTTTGGGTTGTGCCTATATGTGAGGTTTGGCAACTGGGAGAGATGCTTATCTATCATTAGATTGACAGTTTATCTTTTGATTGAAACAATTCATTTGCATCATCATCTATATTAGCAGAATCCCAATACACGTGAACATTAATCATCCACCGCTAATTTCATTTTTCTTGGTTAGCACTTTTGTCGATGCTGGTTCAGAGAGGATTTCTCAAAGATCCATATGATGATTATATGAGCAACTTGAGTTCTGTTGAAGCCGATAGTCTCGAACAAGTTACAGATGATTTATCAGATATCTCTCCCCTCTGCACCTTATTTTCAGAGGCCATCAAAGGTCCATTGCTTTCATCAGATGGCCAAGTCCAAATGAGCACATTAGAGTTAATTGCCTATTATTTAGGTGAACTAAATTCAGTGAAGCAGTTTCAACTTTTGGTGGAAGCAAATATTGCGGATTATGTATTCGAAATTCTCAGGTTATCAGGCAAGTAATCCTTTACTCGATGATTGCTGTGTCATTTGTCATACAAGAGAAAAAGGCATTAGCAATTAGCTTTCCTAATCATGAATTTGATACCTATGGCCTTCTGGCATGTTTATGTGGGTGAAAGTAGCCATTTGTTCATTTCGTGTACTTTATAAGTTCTTCTGATCAATATATTGGGAGATCCTCTAGAAACCCAAGCTAGATTGCTTGGTCGTTTCTTGTGAGAAAACAACACTCTCGGTCTCTGGTATTTCCAGGTTCAAGAAAAGAATCATTTCACAGTCTTGGGATATTTGAATGTCTTTTATCTTCTTTTATGAATTAACTAAAAGTATACTTCCTTAAATACCTTAATCCTCTATAGTAGGAAATTCTCATTCTCGTGACAAAGGATTGATGTTGTTCATTGATAAATAGAATGCAAGGATCCTGTGGTCAGCTCTTGCCTTAGAGTTCTTGATCTCCTGTCAAGTGCTGGACAAGCTTTTACACAGAGGCTTGCAGTTGGCTTTGCCTCTCTAATTCCTGTCTTTGCTTATGTTGCTGAAGTGCCTTTTCATCCCAGTCAGCTTCAGCTACTGAAGCTCATTTTTAGCTGCATTTCTAACTGCCCCGGAGTGGCATCAACTTCACAAAGTGAGCAACTAGCTGTTATTTTGGCAAGGATGCTTAGAAGATATAATGATGGTGAAACAGGCATGCTTTCAGAATCATTCATGCTGGTATGCTCTATCTTGATGAGTATGATGAATTCCCCATCTTCTCATGATGTCTTAAATCTAACAACATGCATTCAAGAGTCATCAAAAGATGCCATTTTAGCTTGTCTAAGTGCTACCAGAGAGCATACAGACCTGCTTCTGCATTCCTTGCTTCTACTGAAAGAGGCCTTTGCTTATGGTTATGGAGGTTACCCAGTTGACAACTCCAACAAGAATGGATTGCAACATTGTGTCATTGATATATGTAGAAAATGGCTATTGCCTTGGCTATGGAAATCCATCAAAGGAGAAGAGGAGGAGGAGACTGTCCTGTGCGTTCTTGATATTTTTCATGCAATACTTATTCACAGCTATGATGACCAAACCAACGAATTCGCAGAGAACATGATCTCCAGTTCTTGGTTCACCTTCTCATTCAGCTGTTTAGCTTTATATCCAACAGAGAGGATGAAAAGCCGAATATATTTGATGATGAGTTCACTTGTTGAAGTTCTACTTGGAAATGATTGTGGGCAGAACATTAGGGATGCTGTGTCTTACCTTCCATCTGATCCAAATGATTTGCTGTTTCTGCTAGGGCAACAGAGCTCCCATAATCTGCAGCTATCCTTTTGTCAATCTGCGGCCCTGCAAATTTTGTATTGCAGTTCTTTGTTCGATGAAAGGTATTTAGCCTCCCTATCCTGAATTCTTGTATATGGGGATATGATGTGCGGTTTAATATGTCTAGTGATTATTAGTGTAGTCCATAAATTCCTATATCGTACTTAACATAAGCATCTTTGGCAGGCTTGCAGCTGATAAAGTAGTGTTAGCTTCCATTGAACAATATATCCTCGTCAATGGGTGTGATCTAACACGCACTTCTATGAGTTCATCGACTGTTGTTCAACTAGTTGCTCTATATAGCCTGTATAGGGGTCTTGCCAAGATGAGCTACCAAATGCCATATAGTCCAGAAGCTGAGAGGCTCTTTATACAACTAGTCACCAAAAGTGAATGGGATCTGCTGTCTACCAGAATTCATCCTACATCGCTTAAATGGTTGTTTCAACAAGAGAAACTCTGTGAATCACTGTCTTGTCAGATCTTGAAGTTCTGCAGAATTAGTCCCACTTCTGACAACCCATTAATTGTCCATGGGAAAAAGGGTCGTGATCTGGATGTGCAATCGATTGCAGAATTGGTGGCAGCAGAAGACAATTATGCTGCAAAACTTTTTGTGTACATATTTGAAGAGGTTGTTATGGAAAATAACCAAGAGAATGACTTGACTTCAGTATTGAATCTCATGGCAGATGTCACACGTATCTTTCCTGAGGCTTCTAACAAATTATGCTTGAATGGAATAGCAAAGGCAATTCATAACTTCTATAACAATTCAAGCCCATCCTCAGAGGTATACACAGCCATGGCAATCTTTATTTTCAACATATTGAGTTCGGTTGATTCAGATGCTCTTGCTGACAATGAAACCTGGGTTGCAGTTGCTATGAAGGTGACTGTCTAGATAACTCCACCAAGTATAAGTTCTGCCCCAGATCTCACTATTAATGCAGGGTAGCTGATTCCATTTTGTTTTTTTCATATAGTTGATGGATCACTTGATTTACTCGGGTGACATAGGAAAGTGCTCCACCTGTTGCTTGATTCTTGGCATTTTGTGCTTGGTTTTGCACCACTCAACAAATGGAGCACTAGTGGAGGCTTCAAAAATCGTTCTTCTCAACACTTCATTGGCATCGACCTTGTCCAGTGCTATTCATGTGGCCTGTCCGAATGGACCAGCAATGCATAACATTGATGAGGGAACAAAGGCTGGAGAAACTTTGATACATGTGCTTTTATTGCACTATTTTGCTTTTAAAAGGTTAGCTGTCTGAACTTTTTAGTTTATCAAAGAAAAGGTTAGCTATTTGATTGGATGTCCCAAATTGGAATTCCTTCTTAAGAAAAAGTACTGACACATACCTTTCTTAGCATGCATGCCGTTTTACCGAATGCAGTGGACTGGGATAATCTGATTGGTCAAACAACATGCATGGAGTCGCGTCCTTTCTTAAGCATCAAGTGCCATGACTTGTGCAGGCTGATGCATTTCGGACCTCCTCTTGTCAAGCTCGTCGCTTCATACTGTCTGCTGGAGTTGTTTATTAGGTTATCCGAACAGAGAGACGGCAAGCATGAGGACCTATGCACGGATAAATACTGGATGTCGCTGATGGCTGTATTTGAAGGCTTGCTTTTGTACAATGATACCAGAGTGGCGATAAACAGTAGCCTTTGCCTTGCAATGATCTTGAAGTGGGAAGAAGTAGCAGAAATATTCAACAGGAGAAGTATGTGGTGCAGATTGATTTTGGAAGAGTTGGTAATATCTCTGGCAGCTCCGTCTTTAGCGTCTAAATCTCCCACCAATCATCACAAGGCTGCTGTTATTGTATCTGTAGCACTGCTGAAGCTACCTAAAGTTCCAGAATGGATGCGGTCCGTGTTTAACGATACCTTCTTGACTGGTATACTTGGAAACCTCACAGGCAGTGACTTGAGTGCAGAGATTTTCCTCCTATTGCGTGAGCTGTTGAACTCTCAGCTCCTGTGTGCAGATCATGTGGCTAACCTAAACAGGCTGCTTCAGGTACTTTATTTCCTTTTCATCTTGCTCTGCTACTAGTGTTACTTTCCCCTTGGCATGTTCCCATGAGCTTGGTACTCACCTGCGTCTGAGTAGCTTCCTTATTTCCGGTCTTTACATTTTTCATCCTCTCCTCTGGATGGCTAGATTTACACAACTTGTGTGGACAGTGAAAGTCAATTTCAACTACAGTTTTAAGATTGCGAGGAAAGGTAATGCAGTACCCATAAGTTGATAAATCTTATATTATGCAGGAATGCAGGACTCACATATATGGTGAAAACACGAAAGATGAAAGCAAAGAGAAATGTCCAAAGAAGGTTATTGCCGTTGACGATGACACGGAAGCAACTATCGATTTTCTCGTTGATCTGATTACATCTGATTCACAACGAGCAGAGGTATATGGAGGACTTCAAATCGGCAACGAGAGATTGCTGGATGAGATAGAAATGTATTTCAGGTCAACAGCAGCAGATGATGGTACGAGAAACTCCTAGAGATCCGATTATACTGCAGTATCATCTCTTTTCAATATACAAAGATACTACATTAAAAGTTTCAAATGAAAGCACACCACCATCTATAAGTCACTACACATCTGAACTACAAAAACTCCTTGATAATAAAACCTTTGGAGGAGATACATAAAACATCCAGTGACCGGAGGATGAGTATGGATATCCTCAATGAAGGGGCAACTTATTCGGCCAATCCATCATCAAAGAAGATACCATGCAAAGGTGGATATGCGTGAATGTTCTTTTTATTTCTTATTTTTGGTCCCTCACTTTTCCTTTCTTTAGTCTTTTTTTGTTACTGATAGCAATAAGTGGGTTTTTATTGTCCAAACCAAAGCCTTCTCTTTCCTTCAAAACTGAGTCCTGATACCCTCTTTAGGATTTAGATGTTGTGGTTCTATTCGAAATAATCATAATCATAATCATAGTATGCACGCAGTATATACTTTACTATGCGAATTAAGCTCAATTACATGTCCTCAAAACTCCCTCAGTAGATGTTACTATGAGAACTCCCATGTTGGAGTTCTCACTTCATCTTTTGTAGATCACGTAGAGTGCAAATATGCATTAGGATTACATCCATCCAGGGGATAAACAATTCCTACAAAGTATCAGTCGATCTCGTTTATCTCGTAACCTCCTCCACAGTTGCCATTGTAGACATGAATTGTAGTCTACATTGGATATGATCTTCGACCGTCCAAAACTTTGGCTGTCTCTAGCGAGAGGATAGATGATTCCGCATTAGGAATTGGTGGTTGGTAATTAGAAACATGTCAAATTCTGGACATAATACATTGGTATAGTCTGTTTTGTTAGATTGACGATTTGTAACGGAAAACAGAAGAAAACCCCCTCGAATTCCTCGAAAAAGTTTTCCTTGACCCTAGCGAGCCAGCCACAAAGCTACTGTTTCTTAACCAACTGAGTTTCACCATGACAGGAGATTGTACTGATGCAGTTGTGATTCCCATTCTTCCAACCTCCTTGTCCTGCTGTTTTCTGCTATTCCTACAGAAGCACATGTACATCTTGTTTCTGGGTGGCGCGGTCTCGACTTGACTTTGCGCTCCTCTCTTCTCTTTCTTTTCAACTGTGAATTTGTGTCTCTACAGACCATTTCTCGTTCAGCGCCCGCTTTCTCCGTCTTCGCGCTCAAATTCAACGCCTTCAAAATGGTGTCTCCAATCTTTCTCCAACTACGCTTGCTTGATTTGACCTTCGCGCCATCGTCTGGAGAGGATGTTTTGAGTTGAGGCTGCTCTGCACAACTTGAATGAGGTTCTTTGGATTCACATGCTACTTTGGGCTTGTCCATGTTTCCTTGTACTGATCTTGGGGTGGAATAACCTATCCCTGCTTGTGGAATTACAAGGAAGCGTGAGGATATGAGCATAAACAATTGGAGAGATTGGATGGGCAAGGATCGACTTTGTCCGTAGTGACCATCAAAATAATCCAAGAACTAGACAGATTTAAGTACACCTGACACTTCGATCGCCACTTAATTCAATATTTAATCAGCTTAGTCCTTGGATCCCCTAACGACTGCGGTTAGTGCCATTTATTACTAACAAATCCGATCGTTTAATCACGATTCTGAGCCTGATTTCATGTGCAATCAAGCTCTATCGTGACTATCACGACTGCCAATCAAAACTCGCGCCAAACCTCAGACTCCTTTATCCGTCGCCGGTAACCATATGCACCGGTTGGTCCATTGCCATCGGCTACTGGTTTTAGCCAGGTTTGGGACCTGATTCTTCATCGTCGGGACCGCTCGGAAACAATTCGACCATGCGAACATTCCTGAATAAATCATTATATCTTGCATCTCGCAGTTGGAGCACTCTTTCATACATGTTCCTCAACTTAAAAGCACAAACCAACTTTTTTGCGATCTATGTATCTGCATCACTATGGCTCCTAAGCGTCACATTCATTCTGCAACTCGAGTTGCATAAGGCGAACTACACGAACAAGACGCATAGCGAGTTCGGCTTTCGTCTCTCCATCTCATAATCCTAAACCCAGATCATATGGAGTTGGAAAAAAAAAATAAAGAGTGTGAATCAAGCTCAATGGCCTTTGACACCAACAGGCACGCAGACGTCCAAAAGAAAAACTCACCGCGATGTGCACAAAACTCTCCTCTGTAACCTCAGGAACTGCTGCTACCACTGATGACTGCTGCAATGGCGTGATCCGCTGATTCAAATTGTCTCATCAACCTCAGTTGTGACTGTAAGTGAACAATGGGGTCACAGGGTCTGTCCTTTCAGGAAATTTAAAGAGCAAGAAAAGATCCTTTGAGGTTGGAGTAAAGAAACGAAAAGATTTCTTTCCTATTTAGGAGAGAAAGTTCCTTATGATCAACTTTTGCCTTTCCCTGAGGAAAACCGACCTGGAGGAGGATTTTTTTTCGTACATTTTCTGGAGCTAGCATATTCCCAAATATTGGAAATTAGTGTTTTTTTTTCCGGTGATTTCCTACAAAATTCTAAAAATTAAAAATGATGGATCGGCCGCATATCCCCAGCCATAGCCACAACGACCATATGGTTTATATGGTGCTGGACCAAAAAAGGAGAAATTATCTAATCAGTCCCAAACCTATTGTATGCATGTCAATTCAGTTATCCCTAGTAACAGGGGCCCTTGGGTAGTCCAGTCTCCAAGACATTAAACAAGACTTTGTAGCTTAGGGAGGTAGAAACACCCTTTCTTGATGAGGTAAACCTTACCAAAAACGCCAAAATGCTTGTTAAGCCTTTGCACATGATTTGATGATCACATACATTTGGATTGGCGACATGTTCATGCAACGACATAACATCTCCGGTTGTTGGCCGGAGGAAAGACAAACATCTGCAATTAGTAATACGATTAATCCCGTTCGTGTGGATTAGGAACTGGATCATGACGGTCGATCTCCGAGTTGCGGTCTTGTTTCGCATAGTCGATGAAAGGTTTCGTAGGACTAACATTGATGGGAACAGAATAGGATTTTTCAGATGTTGTCTCTCTGTGCAGTAATTGATAATAAATGGCAGTTAATTGTTTGGTGAACACGATATCGGAACGAATTATAACTAAGACCTTTCTAATGCGCGCAGACTGCGATCGCCACACAACACCCATCGCCAATCGGGGGCCTGCAACGGTGACCACCGTGTCTACATAGATTCCTGCATGAGAGAGACGATATCTCATGCAATCACGGCCATGAGGGTAGTTGCCTGAGAACAAGACCCCCTCGATCGTCACCGTGATCATTGCCGGCCCTCGTCAAGCCCCTAAGCTTTTCCAGAAAATGGCAAACCCATCTATCCCAGCTTCTAGGTGGGGATGATCTCATCTAAGTCTAAATCTGGATTTATACTTGGTCCCATCCTAGGACTGCTCCAAACGCTACATGGGTATAAAATGACTCGTGATCTTCAAGCAAACTTTGACTTTCCAGCCAAAACAGAATCAAACTTCGGAAACTGAGAGTGATCTCAATCTCATTGGAGAATAAAAAAGGAAGAATTTAGCTATAAATTGTGAAACAAAGAGACTTGAAAACACAAACTCGAGCCGATAAGAAAGAGAAAATTGAAATGGGGAGATCGAGTACCCAGAGCTTTCACACGATCAAGATCAAGCATCAATAATCTGGTATCACGCTACGCAAAGAAAAGAAACAACACAGACCTCAAACTTTTAATGCACACGCACGAGGAAGAGTATATTGCCGCCGCACATTATGCACCGTCGAGCTTTCATGCTCCTCTAGTTCTCAGTTACCATACACAGCAACTCGTGACATGTCTATCCACCGACATCATATACTAAGAACACATTTATCCATCAAGATTGACCAGAATGCAATATACAGTGACCCAGAAACAAGCTATACTCAACAGTAGCGTGCAAATTCGATGAAGTTTAATATAGCACTACACTTTCCTAGGATGATAACACAAGAAGCAATGCCTCGTGAAGATCCTTACTCGATGAGCTAACCTGTCGAGATGTCTAATTCACGGAAGAGCAGCAAACAAACTGCGCCCAGTACGGCCTTCCCTTGACCTTCCTCTTTTCTCTCTTGATGTCAGTCGGATATCTCGCAGGAGAGTTCCATTCTTGGTCCGTTTCTTTCACGGCAGCCCCCGAATTGGCAGCTTTAGAAGAACCTAAAATCGAGCTCACTGTCGTCACCGACGCGATATTCTTATCATTATCTTTCGCTGCGTGGTCATCTTTCGCAACTATGGGAGCTGAACTCTCTTTCGGGCTCGCTGACTTCAGCTTGCTCTCTCGGTTAGCTTCCACCAAGAGGCTCTTCAGAGGGGAGTGTTGTTTCCCGGCACTCCAGTTAGTGACTTTGGCGATGATCTCTTCGTTCTTCTTCCTTCCTTGAGAATCATTCGCTGTACGTGGGAGGGACGGGAACCAACCAGCTTGCTCAGAGGCAGATTTTGATTGGTCATTGTTTTGCACGGAAATTGCAGGATTCTGATTATTGGTGGGTTCGACCAGTGTCATGAAGGATGGTGGCTCAAAGACATCTGTTTTCTCCGAATTTTTTCCACCTGACTCAATTTTTTTCAGCTTCAGGTTTGATTTTGCAGCATCTGTCATTGATTGGGGCTCTTTTGGTGGAAAAACATCAGGCTCCACGGCAACTGGTGGATCTGACTGAGTGGAAAGCACTGACCCATAATTCAAATAAAGAATAACAATTAGGTAAGAACTAACTCGCAAAAGAAAAGATTTTACTCTTCAGAAAAAATTAAGCAGGGTGGCAAAGCTGAGCAAGAGCTTTAGCCTCGGAATGTACTTTCTTTTGTTTTTCCAAAATTGGAAAAGCAACAATAACTTGGAAATATGCCAAACATGAGCAATTCAAACAGAAACGCTGTCAAATCAATTGCCTAAGAGCTGTGCACACCTGTTCCAGCGAGATTGCCAGAACCGAAGCGCATGCACATGCATCCTGCTAGCATCTTTGTCAGAATTTCATTTATCAAGACAGCATTTGTTGCTAAAATGCCAACCACAATATAGACATATGACCATATATTGAGAAGGTTCGATGTGCCGCCTCTAAAGATCACGAGAAAGCAATCGCTAATAACCAAATAGGATAACTTGATTTACTTGTTTACTGCCGAAACCCAAGTACAAAGTTCGCCCAATGTAGATCTCTAATTTGTATTGTAACATACGCCATACCCATACACAACCGAAGCATTAGTGAAAAGCTTTTAAAAGGCTTGCTCATCGCATTTTAAAGATGTAGTAAATACCTGAAACAGATCCCCAGTTGCCTTCTAAGCTATCCGCTCGACTACTTGAATCTACCGATGCGTCATGTACAGATCCAGCAGCCTGCTGTTCAACAAATTTCTTGTCGCTTTCATCTTGCAAAGGAGAACTATGTCCAGGAACAGTGATATCGCTGGTGACTGTATTTGCTATGGCAGTAGAAAGCAGATTATCTTTCCTGTAATGCTTTTCAGATGTAAGTTCCTTGATTCTGGTATCCCCGTCATGAGATAATTCATGCACTGATGTGCTCACTTCAGTATCACATGCTCCTTGTATTTCACCCTCGCCACTTTTTTCGCCTTCCTTCGCACCTTCTCGGGTATTTGATGTTCTGTTCACGATTTCTGACTTAGTTTCCCGCCGATGAATGTTATTTTCTGCTGTATCCTCGCATCCCTGAAGGCTACCTGTGGAAGTGGATTCAGCTGCATTTTCTTTCGTTATGCTATTTCCCAGAACATGTCCTTCCGCAACATCCGTCCCCACAACATCAAGGTTTTCCTTCACATGGTTCCTCTGATCACGACAAACATCAGCTTCACTGTTAATCATGTCATCTTGGACAATACTCTGTTTCCCAGTTGATTCAGGAATTATTTGGCTCTCTACAAAGCTCTCATCCATATTTCGTTTTATCTCGGCATCTCCAACAGTACGTGGTGTCTCAATTATAGCAATAACATTGTTAGTACTATTGATTTCACCTGACATGCCACTCGTTTCACAAACTTCAGTATCCACCAGAGCAATCACCGCATGCAGGTCAGATGATGATTTCACATCATCTGCAGCAACTTCAATTTCCGATGAGCTATTAACTACGTCCTTTGGTTCCATCTTTTCGGTTTTCAAAGCCACATCGCTTTCCTCCACTGCAGTTGCTAATGCTTCTTTAGCTGTCTCTACTTCGTTGAGCCCTTGACTTTCACGAGTGTTGACGCTGTCTTGATATAAAATCACATCGCTCTGAAGAGGTGCATCTTCATCCACAGGCTTAAGAATCTCAAGTTCCCGTGCTGAACCGGTCTCTGAAATATATATGTCTGAAGAAACCTCTGCAACTTCCTCCTGTACTTTTAAGTTTGGACTGGAAAAATCCTCAGAAACAGGAACTGCGTCATCTTCCTTCTGGCCAATTGTTGGAACTGAACCTAAGTCATCAGTTTGCATAACTTTGATTCCTTTACGATCCTTAAAGTCTTCAATGAACTTCTCGGCATGTTCTATTATAGGTATATCTTTAGGTATAGTCAGCACATGGAAGTTTCCAGTCTCTCCCAAAGTTTTAGTATGACTGTCGACGGGATCTACAGGAATACTTAGCTCTAGTTCTTGTGCTTTGTCCGGTGTTTCCTGGGGCATATCAGCAGAAACATCCAGTTGCTCAGAAGACAAGTCTGGGGCAAGACCACTTGGAGATACCTCAGAGAACAAAATGTCACCGGACTTCCCCAAATGAAAGCCTCCATCACTTGGCATTACACAAGATATTTCTTTCTCATCTTTACATGGTACTTGAGAGCCTATTATTCCCTTATCGAACTTAACATCAGTCTCCTGTGAAATATTGTCTTCGGAAAATGCTTTTACTGCCTCCCCATCAGTCATTGTTTTAACTTCGGCCGATGACTCCATGGGAGCTTCAAATTGTAGAAGTGAGGAATCAGGTACAGATCCATTTCGTTTATCATTCAGCAAATCAGAGAATTTCTCAGCAGGTTGATCCTGCTCAGATATGGCAGGACTAGTAAACAGATCTTGAATGTTATTTTCACTGCTTAACTTCTCATTCGTAACCCCAGAAGCTGCAACTTTTTCCTCGGTGCTGCTGCCCGCCAAATGGGGATCTTGTGGAATAACTTCTGTCCATTGAAAATAATAAATGAGATTATGAACACAACTCCTTTAATATCAGAGAAACAAAGCGGAAAAGTAAAGCATGGTCAGGAGGATTCATTAGTATAACGGTTGAACCATCATAAAAAGCTCCTAAAGGAACAAGAGAAAATTCCAAAAGCTCCAGAAAAACACAGAAGGAAAAGTGCTAAAAACAAGGACTTTCGGCAAACTATATGTGTGCATAGCTCATACAGAGATAGCCCCAGTTTTGACCATATGCTGTTTGGCATCAACATGACACTAAAAGACAAGAATCTGTCACAAGATCGGAAATTCAGGAGCCATAATAGATTTAATAAGGAAGATAACCATCTAAATTCTTCCCCCAGCTAAATTCATCTACTCCAAGCTCTTCATTTATCAGCAGCCATGGAGCCTTGGAGGCAGAAACAGTAAGTCTATGTTTCTTTATTCTTCAAGAAGATAAAACGACCTATATATGGAAAGAGTATACTCAGAGGAAGGCAGGAGCATTAGACTTCCTTCAAAGATCCCTCATGACCCACTAATGTTTGCAAAACCCATAAACTCCAAAATGAAGTCTTTAATTTCAATCTAAAATCCCCCAAAGCAAATTTACCGAGCTATCAAAAAGCAGAAATTCCCGATTTAAAAAAAATATCAACAAATCAGCTCGTATCAATTACAATTCCTCTACACCTAAAAGCCCACCTGTAGTTGCACTTTCACCCGAAACTTCCACAGTAGCATTATTGTCAGATATCTTTCTGGAAATGCAAACTGACTCATCATCATGCAAAAGACCTTCACTCTGTGTACTCAATCCACCATCTGGAAAGTTCATAACTGCATCTGAAAACACTTCCTCCTCCACGGAAATCGATCTTTCAGCAGTTGCACCTTTACCCAGTTCGACTTGACTTCCCTCTTCAACTTTTGGGCCTGGAGGAACAAATCATGTTCAAACACTGGTGCCTTTACTAAGGAAGGGTGTTCAAAAATTAGCATCTTCCCAGCACATTTATTCCTATGAAATTCCAAAACAGTTTTTCTTCTCACATTTAGTGGCAAAACGACACATCTAATTAGCTTTAACAAAGCAACACTTCCAAACAAAAAACTTGGCGTTTGAAGAAACAACTTCAACACCAAACCTTACTGTTCCTATTTCCTGTAGTGAGCACTCTGGCTTCACGACATTGTAATCGTTGCATCTAGTCACATATTTTCTGACCAAACACACACTACCTTGGATCCCACACAAAGGGGAGGGGAAAAAAGACAGAAAACCACACCCGACCTCAATTAAGTCACGTCAACGAAGCCCAAAAGACACGGCAAGTGAGAACAAAGAGGCTCACTTGGGGTTTTGTGGTCGTCGTCAGAACGCTCGTCATCCGAAACATTCAAATGGGGGTTCTCATCAGAACCAACCACCTTATACCCTTCAAGCTTTCCACAGACCCGCCTGTGAGCGCGCCTGTGCCTAGCACTCGGGTGAGGGTTCGGAAACGGCCATCCGCATTTGTGGCACAAATGCACGCCATGGCCCTCGTGCCCTGCAAAAACAGGAAGCCAAACAAGAATGAGAACAACAGAACCCTCAACAGCCAAGAACCAACCAAGAAAAAGCAGGATACGCGCCGTCTAAAAAACCCCTTCCAGGGTCGAGACCCAAACTGGAAAAACAAGAAATGGGGACCAAAAAATGGCGCATCTTGCAGCAAAAGGGAAAAGACCACGAAGCCAGGATGCCTCAAAGATCAAGACTTCGCCGAGTGGGAAGCAAATTATGAGAGGGGGGGAAGAAGCAACGAGGCAGAGAACCTGAGGAAGAGTGATCCTTTCTTTGCTCTTGACTCTCCATGTTTGCAGTTGCAAGTGAAAAGATGCAGCGAGAGCGAGAGAGAGAGAGAGAGAGAGAGAGAGATGGACTGAGGGAAGGGAAACGGGAAGAAAAGTAGTAATCCAAGGACGACTTCGAGGGAGGAAAAGACAAGGCAAGAGTCATTTGTTTTTGGTCGTGCCGGAGAAAAGTCGGTCAGAGAGAGCGAGAGACAGCGTGCGAACAGTCCCACATCGTTTATTTGGTAGGGTCGAAAGATGAAATGATGTAGAGAGACAAGGACGGCAACGGAGGCGCACTTCAGCATATGGTCCCCCCCCCCGCTAGCGCATCGCTTCGAGTTCGTTTGACTACACAATATTCGCGCATTATTTATCTATACACTATATATATAATACGTGTATGTATACGTAGATCAGATAGATTTATCGACCTCCCTGAGTCAACCTTTGCATTTTGATGATGCAATTGCATATTTAACTCGTTGCATATTTTGTCTCTTTCTCCGCTCAGCTCGTGTTTGGTTGCGGTCGCCGAGCAAACAAGACCATCGAGAACGCGAGTCATGTGTTCCACTCTAATAAAATTCGTGTGCTTTTCGGTGTTAGTTTCCAAGCTGACGTTTGCGCATTATTTAGTTAATTCGAAATTTGCAACGTCATTTGTGACTTCAGGACAGGTTAGAATCCATTTGCTTTTAACTCGAAATCGAACTCAACGATTTAATTGGCTACCGGACATCCTCAATTGGACTTTTAATTAATAATTGAAACCATGGAGTTTTCAATGGCCACAACCTTACAAAAACTCCCGTATCATAGCGAGTCACACTGATGTTCCGAAACTTGTCATATTACATCTCTTCCACGCGAATCTTTTGCCTTGCTCGACCAACATCCCTTTCCTATATCGGGGTGGTATCCCGAAAAGTAAGGGCCTTTTTAGTTCGGCTTTAGGGGGAATGCCTTTGGCAAAATGTAAAGGCCTTTGAGTTAAAAGGGTTTTTCGAAATGCAAGTAGTATTTGGTAATGTGTATTTTAAAATCACATTTGAAAGTAACTTTGGCCTAAATGCCGTTTGGTAAAAATTATTTGTAAAAGACTTTTGCTGATATGTAAAAAAAAAAAAAAAGGTTGGCCAACTGCCCACCACCGCTGGCCAGATCTGGTTGCCGGCCAACCACCGACGGCCAGCCTCGCCTGACATTAGGCGAGGCGGCCTGAGGTCACACGATCTTAGGTGAGTCTGGGTCACGCGACCTTAGGCGGCGATTGCCTAGGGGTCGCACGATCCCGACGACCGCCGCCTGGGGTCACCGGACTTTAGGCGTTACCTGGGTCGCTGGGGTCGCGCAACCCCCAGGCGGTGGTAGCCGGGGCGCTAGCCCTCAGGCGGCGGTCGCCGGACCAGCTATTTGGGAAGATGATGAACAATGCGCGATGAACAGCGCTCGATTGCATTCCGAAAATGCAACTTTCCAATGCTCCTCATGGATTCCATTAAGCTAAAGGCCCTTTCCAAGCTAATTGCATATCCTCAAAGCATTCCAAAAAATTTGTCAAACAATTTTGTATTTGTTCAAGGGACTTTAGAGCTCCAAAGCAGTATTCAAATGCTGAACCAAATAGGCTCTAAATCTTGTACCGCATTTTGACCGGTGAGAAACATAGAGACTAAGATCAATCTGGAGTGTTCGATGGTACCTTAGGGTGCGCATGGAATGCATTCCGGAATAAAAATTCTGTTCCGGAATGCATTCCGGAGCAGAATGGCGTTTGTTAAAAAATTTCCGGAATGCATTGTAGAGCGATTTTTGCATTCTGGAATAAAAATGCGTTTGTTAAAAATATTTGATTCCAGAATGCATTATTGATTCCAGAATGCATTTTTGATTCCGGAATGAGTTTTTGGCAAGAAAAAGAGAAGCTACTTTTTGTAGCTTTTTGATTCCGGAATGCATTCTCTCTATTTTCTCACAAATTTTTTTTCAGAAAATACATAAAAATTGAAAAATTCTAGAAAGATTCATAAAAATTTCCAGAAAATAAAAAAAGTCAGATTTCGGGAAAATATGAAATTTGGTGAATTTTTTTTAAAAAAATAAAAAAAAATCATAAATTTCAAAACTTCACAGAATAGCTTAAAACACATGTGGCCACCCACTTTAAGTGAAATTTAAATTTTTGGAGGTGCCAAAAAAAAATCAAAAATTTCAAAACTTCACAAAATGGCTTAAAATACCTGTGGCCACCTACTTTGAGTGAAATTTAAATTTTTTGAGATGCCCAAAAAATAATAAAATAATAAAAATTTTCAAAACTTCACAAAATGGCTTAAAATACCTGTGGCCACCCACTTTGAATGAAATTTAAATTTTTTAAGGTGCCCAAAAAAATAAAAAATAATAAAAAATTTCAAAACTTCACAGAATGGCTTAGAATATCTGTAGCCACCCACTTTGAGTAAAATTTAAATTTTTTGAGGTGCCCAGAAAAATAAAAAAATTCAAAACTTCACAAAATGGCTTAGAAAACCTGTGGCCACTCACTTTGAGTGAAATTTAAATTATTTTAGGTGCCCAAAAAAATTTAAAAAAATCAAAAATTTCAAAACTTTACAGAATGGCTTATAATACCTGTGGCCACCCACTTTGAGTAAAATTTAAATTTTTTTAGGTGCAAAAAAAATTAACAAATCAAAACATATTTTTGTTCTAGAAATCAATTTCTGGAGCAGAATTAATCATGTTTTACCAAACAGATTTCTCCTTCAGAAATCAATTTCTGGCAAGAATTCCAGAAATCAATTTCTAACAAGAATTTGATTTCTGGAGCAGAATGGTTACCATTCGCACTCTTAACAATCGATCCCCATCGTCCCACATAGTAATTGATGCTGTGATTCTCAAGGAAGATACCATACTGCACGAACGCTTCGAATAGCAACTTGCATAGAAAATTACGACAAGAATCAAAACTAGATAAATCTGGACTTTAGGGAGAGTTGGGGGGTAACTTTCTCCAGCTCAGGGGCTTTGCAAAATAGCTTTTTTAAGGCAATCTTTCATCTGTACCATATAAGATCGCAATCATATCATAGTGTTGGTGACCCCTACGATGTTCTTTTTACACTGGGGACCATGGAGGAGCCCCCAGCGGTTTAATTTTTTCCAGGCAAAGATAGCGACGCCATAGGCCATAGCCCACGTCGTATAAATTGCGTCGCATCGTTTTCAAATTAATTTTGTAGGTATGAACAAGATTTGTAAAAGATTCATTTATCATGTGTAGGGCTCTGGGAAAATACCCCGCGACCCCCGAGAACCGGGATCGGGCCCGGTATTCTCGGGGTCTAGCTATCCCGGGTCAGGCTGCCGTGCTTCGAAAATGAACTTCCTGGTTCGGGCCAATCGGATCTTTAGAGGAAAACGCTTCGGTTCTCTTTATGATCCTTTTGCACCCCCCTCCACTTCTTCTGCTCTCCCTCACGGTCCGCCGCTCTCTGCCCTTAAGCTCGCTCGCGACTCGTCTGCCCACCGCCGCGCTACATCGAGGGCCCCATCGCGGCGGTCAAGCACCGCCACAAGCTTTGGCGCGAGGGCTCTTTATTCTCTGATTAGAGGATGGATAGAAATTAGAAATAACATCCCCGGCTTCCCTTGCCATCTTGATTATTCTCTGTCACATGTCGAAACTTCCGATCGTCCTCCTCACTTTGCGCATTGGATTTCAAGTTACATCTCTCGCCCCTAGAAAAATCTACCTAGTTGTCATTTTCTTTTCCGAATTTCCAATCCTCGACATTGGGTTTATTTTTCGGGTGAAAATTTCTGGTGTGCATAAGGGCATAGAGATCGTTTTTCAAAATTGGGGATATGCAAAACGTGGGTTTTGAAACGTGAACAGAGAGAGGTTGGCCAATATCCCCAGATGGAAAGTAAACCATAAGGCCTACTTGGCCCCTATAATACAAGGCCAATAGTTATTTTGCAAAGTCATTATCTCTTATTTTCCTTCCTTCGACAACTCTTATGTCTAGTCTCATTTTTATATTATTTGAGAATATCACAACGATTACGAAGCCCTAAACTTGTCAAAACGGATCATAAACCCATTTATAAACTCATATTTAAAGGACTGAGTTATTATATAGGCTAGTTTTATTTAGTAAATGGGTTATAAATTGGTTTGGAATATTATAACCTAAATAATATGGGCGCTAAATAGGTCCACGACTTACTTAAACCCACCTCATCTCTATGACTCTCGCCCTCACTTGATTTCACACTTGCTCACTCCATGTTTTCACCTCATTTTAGGTACGAGTTTTCCTTAATTGAGCTATATATTAAAAGTGTTTTAGTAATATGGATTGGATATATGTCACTAGATTTACATAGGGATGAGTCAAAGCAGATTAAAATGGGTCAATTTGGATCGAACTTTTTTTACTCGATCCACCCGTTTGATGGGTCTACAAAACCCTCAACATGAACGTTTACAATCGTTGACTTCCTCTTTTTAAATGTCACCAACATATGGCTCATGCGAGGAGTTCATAAAATAGACTTGTTCTTAAATAATTTGCAAAGAAAATATATAGAGAGAGGATAAGGATTTCAAATTTGTGAAGAATGCGGCGTTCAGAGATAACTATTTAAATAGTTATCTTAAAGTAGAAAGTGAAATTGAATCTCCCTACTCAGATACACAGACTTTGATACATCTGTTTTTATGTTGATGCCTCTAGCTGAACTGGATGAGCGCGATGTTTGCACAATGAATGCTGCTCCAGCCCCTGTTGTCTTCTTCTTTTTAAACTCCTAGGTTGATGTATTTAGTTGGGGGCGATAGGAGATTTTCAATTAAAGAACTGCATATCCCCCATTCAAATCCCACAAACTGCGTGCAAACTGTTATGGGTCAATGCCGTCTACATAGATCGAGGATACGGACTTAATTCACACAATTCTTATTCAATCGACAAAAGCGCCTCTATTTTAAAAACGAAGCCCTTTTCTCTCAAAACTGTAGCTTTCTTTTTTATTTTTTTGTGGAGGGCAAACACAAACACATTCATCGTTCCCTTAAGTGAAGGAGATTTGATTTGTGCTG